TGTGCACATTCATCCCTTGACCATAACAGAGTTAAAATTTCATTAAATTGTGATGACGTGGATGCCACGTGTAAAACAAAATTAGTTATTTCATACTTTAAGTAAAGAGTTATGTTCAATTTATACCCAAAGTATACTATTGTGCGAATACATACCCCAACTAAATAGAAAATAAAATTTACTACCTAAACTTCCGGTATCGTGCAAAATCATACATTTAGTTTCACCGTGTTAAAAAATGATTAACTTCTGATGACATATAAAAAGATGTTCTTTTGTTTGAAACGAACAATTAAGAAGAAAAGAAACCGAAACGACATTGTTCTATAGAATTAAATTAATTTCGTCTCTTTCTTCTTCTTTTTCCGCAACACATTTGGAAGATTATTAAGATAATTATATAAATTCAAAATCAGTTCCATCAACCTACTCTCTTGGAAAGAAAAAAATTGTTAAATCAATGATTTTATAACACAAGGTATATCAGATTTAATCGAGATCTATTGGATTTCCCTAACCATAATTAATAAAACATATTTATCAAGAAATATGTTAAGAAATCCTCTCTCAAAAATTCTATCGAACACTTTGCATGTTGTGTCTCGTCCTTCCCTAGAATGACTTGATCCCAATACTCATTCCACTTTAATTTCTCTTAATCTTTTTTGGTTGCCAATTCTAAATCCTAGAGACGCAAATATAAACCCTTTATTTTTTTCTCATTTCAATTTGTATAACAAAGATTCCATCCGTATATATCAACAAATATATATAACAAAAGTTCCACTAAATATGTATTTAATTTTTCATTATATAAAACAAAGTTGTTTAGATTTATGTTTAGATTTATGTGACGCTAAATGTATCATTTTGCACAATATTGAAATTTTTTATAGTAAATTTGAATTTATATTTAGTTGAGGTATGTATTCGCATAGTAGTATACTTCTAGTATAAATTGAACATAAGTCTTTACTTTGGATATTGAAATAACCAAATTTTTTTTACACGTGACATCCACATCATCACAATTTAACGGAATTTTAACTTCGTTACGGTCAAGGTATAAATGTGCATAACATTAAAAGCTTAGATAGTAAATTTAAATTTTTTCTTAATTGAAGTATGTTTTAGCACGGTGGTATACTTTAGGTATAAATTGAACATATCTCCATAGTTAGGTATGAAATGGCCGAATTTTCCCTATTTTTCTTTTATTAAAGAACCCAAATTTTTTTTCAACTTCAAATTGGATTTCCCTTTGTGATAGTCAGACTGTTTTGATCCAAATAGAAACAGATCCATGGTTTTGTCCAAAATCCATTTTAAGAATATTTTGGAATATTTAGTGAAAAGTTAAAATAAAAAAGGAGTAGAGCTTGTGACGAATGGTATTTCAAGAAAATAGGATTTTATTTGTAAACCTTTAAACTAAACCAAAAAACATATATACAATTTTTATTATTTAAACTAATTATATAAATTTTGAAGCCTTAAAAACATAGATTTGAATTGGGATCCTAGGCGGTTGCCTTATTTTTATTGAAGTAGTGGCCATTATAACGAGACCTCGAAATATGTTTGAAATTGACATCACAATCGTTATAAATAAAAATAAAAATGTGTTCCCTTTGAATTAATTATAATCCAAGGCCACTTGTTTGTCTCCCCGCAATTATAATTTTGATTTATCGTAGACTTATAATCCAATTATTTCTGTGGTTGGGTTGTCCTCCGTTTCGTGGCTAATAACCCTGGCCAGTGCAAAATATGTTAGGCTTAGGTTCTGGTTAATTATAACATGGAAATGGAAACGTACAATATTTAAGTAAAAACAAACATTGAAATATTCGAGTTTTTGGACCAAAGACAGAGATCATTGTTGATTGTTTCAAATATCCAACATTTTGAACTTACGCGTAATGTGTGATTATTTATTAATTAAGTATAATATATACATTTATATTGTGTGATGTGTAGGTGCGTGGATGTTCCATTGTCATATGGATGCTCACTTGGCGTTTGGTATAATAACGATTTTCGTTGTCCGAGATGGGCCGACTCCGGCGACTAGCTTGCCTTCGCGCCGCCGCTGGATTTGCCTCTATGCTCTCCGGAGCCACCGGTCCACTACGAAAATCCCACCACCGATCGATATTATTGATTCCTCCATCTAGCTAGAGTCCTAATAATGTATTCATGCATAATGTGTTATAATAAAGTTTGCATATGACTCGTATCATTGTTTTAGAAAACGACACAAACATATTTTAAAATTGAAAAGTGAATTTGAAGCAGTAAAAATTACAGAGAAGTTCGAAAAGTAAGTATATTTCTAAAAGTGACGTGAACATAGAAAAACAAAATTAACAGAAACGTAGAAGACAAAAAAGCATATTGAATGGCAAAAAAATGTTTTAATATCGTTGTCATCCACAGCATTTAAACTCAACTTAATGGAATTGTTTATTTTAAAAAGGGAACTAACGCCAAAAGGCATTAATTATTTTTGTTTTGTTTTTGCAAACATACAGTATTACTAGTCTCTTGTATATTATTTGAAAAATAATTTTTTAAAGTTAACTTAAATATTAACACCACAATCAATTTTACCAAATAAATATGATATGGCAAAAAATATATTGTGAAATGGCAAATCAATTAGTTTAGATGACAAATGACATAACTCTACTTTTGAGCTTCGTGAATAGGTTAATTTGGCCAAAACTCTTGCTTTCCTAATTTTAATATAATGCATCAAATTTTTTTTAAAAAAAACGTTGATCACTTCATAAGATTCAAGTGATTGTTTGAAAACAAAATATAATGGTCAAAGAATTCTAATACGACTATTTTTTTTTGCTACATTTGTAACACCATTATCACCTTCACAATTGTTCCAAAAATTATATACTCAAATTTATATTAATATTCTATATTTTCTTATAATTATCATTATTTGTTAATTTAATTTATTAATTTATTATATTATCTATTTACCATTCCGTATCTTTTATTTATATTGTCTACATCTGTAACACCATTATCACTTTGACAACTAGTCCTAAAATTATATACTCAAATTTATATCAATATTATATATACTTTTCTTTAAATTATGATAATTATCATTATTTGTTAATTTAGTTTATTAATTTATTATATTGTCTATTTACCATTCTCTATCTTTTATTTATATTACATACTTTAATATATCAAATTATAATTTATAATTATTAATTTGAATACACATCTAAATATATGAATACTAAAATACTGAAACTAAATTCCAAAAATAATATTATTAATAAAAATATTT